GAGTCGAGTGGCTCACATTACTGCTGTGATGGGCGGCAAAATTTACAAACTACTGGAAACGAGTTTCCCAACCAAAGGATCGTTAGACTTGGGTTTGTGTACGATTGCGTCGCAGTCAGTATCTGCCGGTCAGTCCATCCCCACACCCTTGGAATTATGGGTAGTGACTGTGTCTGAGTAACAGCCATCTGATGCAAACCTGTATCAGTCGGCTCGTTCGCCACTCACGGGCTCATAGGGATTACAGGATTACCAAAACGCTGAAACACGGGTACAGCGATGCAGCACTTTCCGAGCTTCTAACGGGACGGTAGCGTTTGCAACCACGTGGAACCGTAGAAGAAGAGTTCAAGGAGAGAAAGTGGTGCCTTTTTTTGCTGCAACGCTCTGTAATCCTACGAAACGAGTTCACTCTCACCAGGGTCATATGTCCAGTGTTTACTGTCCCTGAACTTGTTTTCATGGTGAGCACTTTGAAACGGTAACGGTTTTGCCAGCGACTTTTGTGAAGAGACTTCAAATCTGGGAACCGTACTCCAAGATTGGAAATATAAGCTCTATAAAGTCCGACATATAAAAAGGTTTCATTGCCCATATTGCGAATGTGAGTGTTGCAAAAGCATTGTGACACTTACATTTATACATATAATGTGAGTATTAAATTTTAGATCTTCAGTGATAAAAATTGCAAGATTCTGCACCTCGGGTGCAGAGTACGTTATCATAAAATTCATACTACAGGCCCATAATGCCAAGCATTTAAATTGGTTGTGCTTAGCTACCGTTTTTACTATATATACCCTGTTCATAAACCAGCGGAATTAAGAACGATCATTCTCTTTGGCGACGTTCGGTCCGTCCCGTATTCCGGTGAAAGTCGAAAAAAGGTCGCCCGTTTCGGACGCATATCTCCGCCTCGTCGGAAAAGGACCAGGAGCACAGGTGTGTTCACGTCATCCATCGTTAATCCTTGTTATTTTATTTTTCGCTATGTTTAGGTTTATGAACTTGGGCCCAGTGACAACTTAACCAAATGGGTAGAGCACTTGCCGAAGCAACTACCAGCTGCTGGATTTGGCGCGATATTCGCCCAGAACGCCGTTGACGTGCTCTTTAACTCCCGAGCTTATCACTCCTTGCCTTCTTCATTGAATGTGTATGACAATGCGAGGCTGAAAGTTGAAGTTGCTGGTAAGAAGGATTGAAAGCTTTGAGCGTTTGTATGATAATTTCCTTGTGTTATGTAGCCCTTTTCAGCACCTGATGGTGTTATCAACACACAGTTGTACGCTTACACGCCCCATATCTCGGGAAGCGGCGGTACATCGCGCTTCGTGTCTGCGGGGATGGTCGACTCGTTGTTGGGACCATTCCTAGTGTTGGCTTTAGCATTAGTAACATCGCCATTTGTTATATTTTTGGTGGAAGAGCGTGTAAGCAAATTTGCGCATCAGGTCAGTTTGTTGTACCGAATTTAGATGAGTCTGTGGATTTGTATTCAGCATGTGTGTGCGAAAACATTTTTCTTTTGAAATGAGAGGTAGAAGTTTTTGCAACAGAATGATCCCAAAGAGCATCAATATATTATATTACGAACAAGGTTCAGAGTCAAGGGCGGTGGTGACGTCCGTTCCTCCAAGTGGTGCCACCGGGACCTGCTCGCTTTTGCGGGCTGAGCAGAACACGGACGAACCGAAAGCAGGCGACAGGCCTTCGTGACGGGCCGGCTTACGAACACCCCATGTCACATCATCATGTTCAACTATGCCTTATGAATTACGAGATAATGCTACGGCGTCCGCGGGAGCCGACGCGCACTCGTATGGCGAGTGTGGAAAGTATGCGAGGGTCCTCGTTGCAAGGACGGCATCGGGGGCAACCAGGCTAGTCCGAAAGACGTGCAATGTGTTGAAGGCTCGTATTGCGACGCTGAATGTAGGGACGCTGACTGGACGCTCGTACGAGTTAGCAGAAGCCCTAGAGCGTAGAAAGATCGACCTCTGTGCCGTGCAAGAGACGAGATGGGCTGGCTGCAAGTCGAAAGAGTTAGGCCGCGGCTTCAAAGCCGTTCTTTGTGGCGGGCCGAAAACTACAAGTGGTGTGGCCGTGATCGTGTCTCAGCGATTTCGCGATACGATTGTGAGCGTAGATCGTTTCGACGACCGTTTAATGAAGATTGTTGTCGCTATTGAACAACGACTTTACCACTTCTTCTCTGCATATGCCCCACAAACTGGATGCTCTGAGCAGTCCAAGGACGAGTTCTGGGCTCTGCTGGACGAGAAGACGGCTGAAGTGCCACCAAAAGACGGTATCATTGTAGCCGGCGATCTAAACGGACACGTGGGCGCTGCAAAAGACGGCTATGCTTGTCATGGCGGATTCGGTTACGGTTCACGGAACGCCGATGGTGAGCGAGTCCTTGAGTATGCAGAGTCGCATAACCTCGTCATTCTGAACACACGGTTTCGTAAACGTGATTCTCATCTTATCACGTTCTACAGCGGGAGTACCAAGACCCAGATAGACTTCGTACTCATCAGGCATGGCGACCAAGGACTCGTGACAGACGCTAAGGTAGTACCGTATGAAACGGTTGCCACGCAGCACCGCCCACTGATCTGCACGCTCAGACTTGTAGCTCCCAGATCGAGGCAGGCAGAACGATGCGGTCCTGAAAGAATAAAGTGGTGGCGACTGAAAGAGCGGGAGGCAGCTGTGATTTCTCGTATTCGACTACCTGAAGTCACAACTGTTCAGGAGACCTGGAACGAAGCCGTTAACTCTATAATCCAGGCCGCCCGCTCCGAACTCGGCACAACGAAGCCTGGAAGGCGGAGGATCGACAAAGAGGCATGGCTGTGGACGGACGACGTCAAAGCGAAGGGTTCGAGAAAAGAAGAGGCTCTATCACGCATTTCTCGATCACAAGTCGGCTGACAACTGGCGGCAGTATCGGGAAGCGAGGAATGTGGCAAAGACGGCCGTGGCTGCTGCGAAGGCCGCTCACTTCGATGATATCAGCAAAAAGCTGGAGACGCGCGACGGTGAGCGGTACCTGTACGGACTTGCCAAATCTCGTCATCGCCAAACCGAAGACATTGAGAAGTTTTTTGGCATAAGTGATGAGAATGGCCACCTTCTGATGGACCGAAAAAGGGTATTGCAACGATGGCGTGAATACTTCGAGGGCATCTCAACGGTGGAATTCGCCCATCCCGCTATACCCTGTACCGCACCAACATATGGTCCCGTTCAGAAGATCACCGTACAGGAAACAGAAGCTGCTCTGAGGAAGATGAAGGCCGGCAAAGTTACAGGCCCCGACGACATAGCAGCTGATTTGTGGAAGTCACAACGCTGGTTTTCTGCGGGTTGGTTGACGAAACTCTTCAACCAGATCGTCGAAGAGAAGAAGGTGCCCAATGACTGGCAGCAGAGCGTGACGATCCCGTTTGGAAGAAGAAGGGCAGCCCAGCAGATTGCTCAAACTATCGTCCAATTCGCCTTCTTTCACACACCATGAAAGTCTTTGAGCGAATTATTGACGCCCGCGTTCGTGATATCGTCCAGCTTTCCACCAATCAGTGTGGCTTCGTGGCGGGTTGTAGCACCGTCGACGCCATACATGCCGCTCGCCTATTGCTGGAGAAACACCGTGAGAAGCGAAAGCCCGTGCATGTAGCCTTCCTAGACCTGGAGAAGGCATTCGATCGTGTGCCGCGTGATGTTATATGGTACGCTTTGAGGCGGCACGCGTGCCCGAAGAGCTAATTGAGTGGGTGCGCATCCTTTACTCATGCCCAGGGAGCCAAGTTCGCTCACCAGCGGGTGTCTCAATGGAGTTCCCCATCGTCGGGGTACATCAAGGCTCTGCGCTCTCCCCACTTCTTTTCGTTGCCGTCATGGATGCCATCTCACGAGATCTTCAGAAGGAAGTGCCTTGGACCCTGCTTTACGCTGATGATGTGATGCTTGCTTGTGAAGATAAGAGCGCACTGGAACAGCAGGTGCAAGCTTGGGCCGAGCGTCTGGCGAAGTTTGGACTCAGGTTGAACGTCAACAAAACAGAGTATTAGGTTGTCCGGAAAGTTCTTAGCGTTTTGGGTGTTTAACTTTAAACGATCATAACTTTCTTAACACTCATCGGATTTAATCCAAATAAGCACCGTTCGAATCAGCGACACATTTTGCCAATTGGCAGTAGTCGAGAAATCCATCAAAGAAAAAACTGGGTGGTCGAGAATCCACGAAATCTGCGAAGGTCTTTTTTGCCTGGTCCTGTTTGATGAAGTATTTCTCAGCAGGAAAGTTCTGAAAATGTCTGAAAAGGTGACAGTCGGTTGGTGAAAGGTCTAGAGAATATGGTGGGTGAGGTAGAACTTCAACTCCCAATTCGTTCAATTTATGGATAGTGATTTGTGAAACGTGTGGGCGGGCGTTGTCATGCAAAAGAATCGGACCCTTTTGATAAGTGTTGGCTGCAGCTGACAATATTTTCGGTACATTTGGTCGGTTTGTTCACAGTAGGGTTCTGCTGTGATGGTTTGGCCTGGTGATGAAAAGTTATAGTGGATTACAACAGCCGATGACCACCAAACCTGACCAGAATTTTTTTTCGCGAGGGTTCGGCTTTGAAAATTACCTCGGTGGTTCCTCCAAATCCAACCACTGTCCGGAACGTCTCCTGTTATCATACATGATCCATTTTTCATCACAGGTGACAATTCGGCCCAAAAACAGGTCGTTTCTGCTGCGCAAAAGCAATGCAGAAGGAACCTCGAGACGTGCCGATTCCTGCCGGTCCCGATTGTGGGGCACCCAATTGTCGAGTTTTTCACCTTCCCAATGCGTTCCAGACCATCTGCAACAGTGGATTTGCCAAACGCCTAGCTCTTCTGCTATCTCTCGAACTGTTTGGGATAGATCAGCCTCCGAAATCCCCTCAAAATCCTCGTCAGAATTGCTTTAGGTCGATCGCTATGAGGTTCACCTTCAAGGCTGAAATTTCCAGAACGACATTTGTTGAGCCATTGCGGCACAGTGCTTTCTCTAGCACTATTGGGCCTCCACACCTGGTTAATTTGTTGAGCTGTTTCGATTGCGGATTGCCCCAATTTATAGCGAAGAAAAAAATCGTCCGAAGTGCTCTTTTCACATGCTTGAAAAAATCTTGAAAAAAGGGTTTATCAAGCAATGGTGAAACGGCAATTATACCATCAGATAGCGCAAGAAATTCTCTACAGGATGTGCTACTGAGAAGCAAGGCAGAATGAGTTTTTAATCAGCAGTGAATGTACAAAGATTAGGTGCACAAAACGCTGAAGAACTTTCCGGACAACCTAATAATGACTAGACTGACCCAAATGAGACGGGCTCCATTAAGATCGATGACACGGTGCTCAAGCGCACGGAAACATTCAAGTATCTCGGATCAGCACTTGCGTCCGACGGCAGTCTGAACTCGGAAGTGAGCGCACGAGTGAGTGCCGCGTGGTCCATGTCCGGGATCCTTCGCGACAAGAGAATGCCAGAGCGGTTCAAATCAAAGATCTATCGTACTGTCGTCCGACCTGTCGCGTTATATGGTGCCGGCAGTCTTCCCGCACGACAAAAGAAGTTTGAGGCCCTCGCTTGCGTGTGTGATGATGAAGATGCTGCCGCTGTGACGGCGGGCGTCACGCGAGCGGACCGCGCATCTGTATGACTGTCGTCATAGCGGTAAGGAAGTATGGTGTAGCCCCCATTAACGGGCCGAGGAAATATCCCGTGAAAGCGGCGCTTCGATGGTATAGGCACGTACTCCGCGCAAAGGCTGATACCGTCCGGAAAACTGCTCTCGAACTCGAGGTACCAGGAAAGCGGCCAAAGGGACGTCCCAAACAGCGCTGGCTCGACACGTTGCATACCGACTTGAAAATAGCCGGCATCCACCCTGATCAGGCATCTAATCGGGATAAGTGGCGTAGTTGTATCAAAAGAGCGGACCCCGCGATCAAGCGGGACAAACGCTGAAGAAGAAGAAGAAGAAGAAGAAGGTTCAGAGTGAAGGGCCAAATGATAAAAACTGATTAGCTCGGCAAAAATTTGGCCTTGTCGCCTCTGTCAGTGCCTGAAATGAGAGTTTAGCTCTCATTTCAGGCATGGAGGCGACAGATTAGTTCAGTTCACCGCATATTTGATTGATGGGAAGCTGACCAGTGTGCAAATGTTGTAGGCTCGTGCTACCATTTATTTTCCGCGCCATTACAAACTTGTTTTTCAGCAGTCTTTAACGGGCATATCACCGATTTTGTTCTGGGCAGCGTCTTTCCTCTACGATTTTCTCTTCTATTCCTTAGTGTGCGCTTGTTTCTTGGCGGTGTTCATCATCAGCGGCTGGATGCAGGGATATCTTGGATTGTAAGTTTGTTTTCCTTTTTTTGGAGCCATTCTGAGCAGCTCGTTTGTTTGATGTAGCCTCACGAAAAAAGAATTCATAATCTTTGACTCAAGTAGAGTTTATTTTAGTGTGGTTTTGCTGTTCATTCTGTACTTCTGGTCATGTGTGCCGTTCATTTACGCCGTGTCCTTCATGTTCACATTCACCATCGAAAGCGAACGTGCTGTTGATCCTCTGGCAGTTGGTGGCAGCTTTCGCTGCTATGTTGATCATATTTATTGTGAATTTCGGGGAATTGGTGGATCCGACGCCCGGAGAAATTATCAGGGTATTTTTATGCGGATCGTTTTATGCATCCATTATTTCTCCTTTTGTCCTCTTATTCACCTACTCATTCCCGATTTAAAGCCGTCTGTGAGAGTCCCTATGCAGTGCACATGCACGCACTCTTTGAAACTCCAACTTTTATCAAAAAGTCTTCCTGATTCGAGAAAATTATTTCTGTGGTTGGTGACTGTATACAGCGCTGATTTTTGATTCTAGTCTATACTTCTGTGCATCTTGCCCTCTTTCGCTCTCGGCAACGCTGTTATGACTGTGGGAACAACTTCAGCCGAAAAGCTTCCACCAAGCACGCTATGGGAATGGAATATGCTTGGTAAGTAGCACTAAGATAGCGTCTTCGCTCTTTGCTGGCTAATTTAAGCCCTGCTATTAAAAAAGGCAGGCAGTGCTTTCTTGGCTAGTTACGAAGTATTTGTGAGAGTTTTAATAGGCGGAGAATCGATAAGTTTTTTTAGGAAAGAACATAACGTTCATGCTGATATTTGGTTGTTTTTCCTCGCTACTGTTTCTGATGTTCCAATTCAAAGTGATAAGGTATCGTTGGTTCCAACTTTGGGATTTACGATACGGACGCAGGCACTATGGCAGGGTATGTCCTTCATTTTGTTTCCTTTGAAGTGTCCCATTTTCTCTGGAGTAAGAAACATCTGTTCGCAAGGCTGCGGAAATGCGCGCGACGTGTTCGCTGAAATTCCTTGATACCGCAACTGCTTTTCTTTTTCTGCATATTGTGCTCTTCTGGTTGGTTTTGAAACACTTCGTATTCAACTTGGATCGGTAACATGGCAAGAATATACAAAAACGCTCAAAAGTTAAGCCAGAACGAGCTCTCGGGGGAGGGTGCGTCTTATTCGCGGATGGCCTCACCCCCCAGAAAATACTGTAATCGTGCTCAGAAGTGATTTCGTTGTAGGTCATGAACGCGCGCTTACAGGTTGCCAACGATGAGGAGGACAGAGCAGTGGCTGAAGAGCGAGTGAGCGTGCAACAGTCTGGCGATGATATGGCGCTGGAAGTGAATGTAAGCCTTGATTTATAAAAATAATTATCGGTTTTTGTACCCGGGCTATCTTGTACCCCGCAAAATTTGTGGCGCTTCAGGATTTATGCAAGATGTATGGATATCTAAGAGCGCTCGATGGTCTAACTATGGGTGTTCGAAACAGCGAATGCTTCGGACTGCTTGGTGCGAACGGCGCCGGAAAGACTACAACTTTCGACATTCTCACTGGACAATCTTTTGCCACATCTGGAACAGCTCGTATAGACAAACGAGACGTGACGGAGCAAATTGTGGGTTGTTTCTGTTGGGTATTCTCGAAGCCTGCTGCACTGGTTGATAGATTTTTCAATACGAAATTAAAAGCGACTGAATTTTTAATTCCAGCCGATCGGTTACTGTCCTCAATTCGATGCGCTTCTGCTAGATCTGACTGGAAGGGAGGCTTTGAAGGTAATCAATTTTTAGTTTTTCTGATGATTTTGCGTAGCTAGGGTTATATGTACGCGATATTTCCGCGTCCCGTTCAACTGTTTTCGATACAATCTTGACTTGGCTAAGTATTCGCATGCCATTCTTCGCTTGGAACAGAGTTTTTTTTCGTCAAGTTTTTCAAGAGGTGATCGAATCTTACAGATTCTTGCTCGCATGCATGGTTTCCCTGATCCTGATGAAATAACGAATATAGTCCTCCGAAGCGTCGGCATGGAGGGGCATGCTGATAAGTTGATACGATATTGCAGGTAAACCTCTTTCTAAGCTGTTTATACTGTTTTTTTTCAATTCTCATTGATTTTACCTTGATTTGATCGATTCACTCGAACTACCTACGCTGAACGTAATATTCGACATGATTTTTGACATTTTAGTGGAGGACAGCGACGCAAAATCAGCGTCGGTCTGGCGCTTTTGGCGCCAACTCGAATTATCATTCTGGACGAGCCGACGGCTGGAATCGACCCAAAGGTTCGCGGTTGTCCCTAATTGAGATAATCAGTTATGCCCGTCAACATCGGGTTTTGTTTAAATACTAGAACCATATAGATAAACTTGTGTTTGTTAGTTTCTTCATGGCTTCTGAACTGTTGAACAGATGGAGCAGTGCTCGTTTCAGGCGCGTCGTGAGATCTGGGAAGTTTTGTCGATCATACGTGACAGCTCACAGTCGGCCCTCCTACTCACTTCACACAGTATGGACGAATGTGAAGCGTTGTGTAGTCGGATTGCTATTTTGCAAAAAGGCCGAATGATAGCCATTGGAACAAGTCAACAGCTGAAATCGAGGTAGAGTGTGCAAAGCAGGTCTTTTCGGTCGAGTAAGGCTGCGTTCATATCCGTGCGACGTCTAACAAGGGAAGCATGGTAGGCCTTTTAAAATGAAATGTATACCGGCTGAAAGGTCTTCGGACGGGAATTACGAAACCGTCTTCCATATCTGCTGCGGACCTCCCAGAAAGAAGTTACGGAGCTTTTTAGGGGGAGAATATTCGCATTCAGTACGAATTGGCGGCGTAAGGCTGATGCGATCGTGGCAGCATGGCCGAGTGGATACGTCGTAGGGCTCGCGAATGCGTGGTGGAGGGTGTGGATCCTTGATGCGTGTGCTTTTTTCAAAAGTGGTCCCTGTGCGATTTTGTATAACTCTTGTGCCTGATAATCGTGACGTAATGTTTCCGAAGTAATGGAGCCATTGCGAATGATTCCATTTAGAATATTTTCTAAATGTTGACTTCTTTCTTTGATTTGAAAACCATACAAAAAAGTGCATCCAG